ATCTCGTTCGGCGCCTTGCCACTTTTGAATACCTTTCAAAAATTTTCCCCTCAAAAATCTTTCAGCAGCAAAAAAACAAACAAGTTTTTAAAAAAAAATTGAAGCTGACAGTGAGATATTAACAATATCCTTTTATTTATAAAGTGATTATTTTAGTAGTAGATATTTGAAAACAAGAAAACAATGCAAAGCTTTTGTATAATAAAAGTAGCTTTAAATATCGATCACTTATTATTAACATTACTATAGTATCTATTTCAGACTGATTCGCAATACTGTCCGGTGATTCTTGTCGCTTTTACAAAACAAGATACAAATTCCTGATACAAAAGCGACGCCCACATACGAAAGGCGTATTCACAGAGAACAGAAGGCAGCTCGTTATTTAAAAAATCATTGAGAAAACGAGTACGCAATGAACGCAGCTGCGCGTTTCTATTGTCGCAATCTCGATCATGTAAAGAGGATTAAGTACAGCTATATAGAACAGTTGTCGCGCCGCGCCGCGGCGCCGGGACAACTCTATGTAGAAAATGCCGAATAATTAACTCGATATGTGTCGGAATCAATCTGAATCTATTTAATCGCTGACTGCTTGATTCTCCTATCAGAAGATAAATAATTTATGAAATGTCTTGCGCCCAAGTATATTATTCTAACCAAAAACGTTTCATTTTGAATACGCCTTGAAGTACCTTCTGAAAAGAACATTCGGTACTCCCTGACAATCCTGACACCTTGTTTACTCTCTCGCTCGCCCTAATATCGCCGGCACGGTCGGCTCGTCACTCCGATTGCTCCGAACAGCAAACAGTCCGAACGGCTCCATCACGTATCACGTTGCGCCGACGAGAGGACGAGACAACGAGAGAGATCAGGGAAAGAGAGAAGAAAGAGAGGAAGCGGTCTAACCTGATTGGGCCCGATCGGCGACGGCGACGGCGATCGCGGCGCCCCCGTTGTCCGTCCGCCCGTCCGTCCTGTCACGCGGCACGCGTACCGTTCTCACTGTTCCACTGTTCTCAGTCAGCCACGGCGCCCGGCGCAAGTGACACCTGGACACCTGTTATGCATTTGTGTCGGGGACGCGCGCGCGCGCTCGCCATGCTGACGATTCCCTCTTCCCTCCCGGCACACGATCCATCCGTTCCTTCTGCTTCCTTCGCGTCCTTCGCGAGCGGGATCGCGGGATCGCCAACTTCCGCCCGCTCCCTTGCGCGCAAACGCACCCGCTTCTGCACCTCTCGACGGACACGGCGCGCGGCGGCGTCAAAGTCCGCCCGGACGGAAAGCGTCGGATCTACTGCCGCGGGATCGCGGCGCGTAGCCGCGTACCGTTGCGTCGCGTCGCGTCGCGCGCCGCGCGACGTTTTCTTTCGAACGTTGCGCCGAGAACGTCAACGAGGACACGGTGGACTCGCGCGGGACATCGTTTCCGCGGCGCGGAAACCACCTCGAGGCGATAATCGCGCCTCCCAACGACAAACTGCCTCTTTCCGCGCGCGACCTTACGCGCGTTAACGACTTTACGACTGTCACTCGCGGCCGAATAAGGCCGGGCTATTATTCCCGAGATTACCTGAATGAGCGTACAAAAGTACCTTGCCGCGGTTACGGCGGTTTCTTGTTCTTCTGGTTTAACTCGCGGCAAAGAGAAACACTGGTTGAAATTTCCGCGATATTATTGACGAGCTTTTCTTTTGCATAGACAAATACGATGATCGACGCGAACGCTATTGTCATGGATTACATTTAGAAAGATGATAGTTTTATATAAGAGCGCGACGACTGTTTCCTTTATCACGGAAAGGAGATGACTGTATATAATTATCACGCATATCACGTGAGATTTATCAATCAAATCAGATCGATCATAAATTAAGATACGAACTCAGCTTGATAAAATAATCGGAGCAGAGAGAAATAAGATGGCCTATCAATTATTATTAAAGCGAGTCAAGAGAATCTTATTCTCTCTAAAAATAAAAATATAATAACTGAAAATATTTCTAACTGATAAAAGATCACAAAGTATGAAATAGACATCGGCTTGCTAAAGATTGACGAAAAATTTAATGGAGATGAATAATTTTTTGAATGGTCCCATTTCTCAACGTAAAAATTAAAAAAGAGCTCGAGAGAAAGAGAGATTATTATTATTGAGATTAATCAACGTATATCTGCATGTTAGCTGCGACGAACGTGGACTGACGTGCATACGTGCAAGTTGCGTACAATCGATCGTTATCGATTGCGCCGTAAATCGCGCGGTCGCAAATAGCAAAGATCGATAGGTTAAGCGCCGCAGGTGCGCGCTCACCTCTTTACGTCACTGTCTAGTCGCTCTTCGCTATCTCGTGCCCCGCCGAGCACACATGTCGTCATACGAGAGACACTTTCGTTAATAAACGCAGAAAAAGAAAGAGAGAGAGAGAGAATGAGAAGGGGAAGGGGGGACTCAGCGCGGTCAACGCGGTTCGCGGCGCGAGTAAAAACCGAAAGAGGACTGCCTTGAATCAATAAATAATTGTTTGCGCATTAAAGGACTCGGCGCGTGCGCGCGCGCGCTCGACGGGATTGTTTACGTCACCCCACGTTCATTAATTAAGCATGTAGAGCCGCGACAATCGCCGATCTCGCGCCGCAAAGGATCTCTCGATCTGGATCGAGCGTCCGTGTGTGCGCGCGCGCGCGCAAAAGTAGTTCGAATCCTTGCGCAATCTTCCGGTGTTGCGACACGGGTGGACACGGGGAACTGCCGCCGGCAGGAAGTCGCGACATTCCTCGCTGTGTTCTCGCGCGACTTATACTAGAATTTAATTCTTTCTCCTTTTCTTTCGTTGATCTCGTTTGCACACCTATTATCAAGCGTGTCGAGGCTCGATCTTCGATGAGATATGTCACGAACGTCAAGTTTTTAATATTTAAATATCCTCGAGGCAAGATTTATGAGATTACGTGTGAAATCCGCTTGATGCTCGATAAAGAATGTGGATTTTTTTCCTCTTCTTTTTTTTATCGTCTAGTTCAAAAGTTACGAGATGCCTCGACATTGGAGAACGTTCAGAGAATCTCTAACTGAAAGGGACGATAAATTTCGCAACGACTTATACAACGACGAGGAAAGAAACCCGCGGAGTTCATCGGGGTTAGCGGCTAATCGACATGGAACCGGATATAAGATGTGTTATGATCAATTATGATGCAACCACAATTTCGCGTTTATGTATCGCGTAGATCTCCGCGCAGATGGCACCGCTGCTACCACGATAATGATTCTCCTGATAAATAAAGGCCAAATAAAGGCCTACTGTTCCTATAACAAGCTGTATTTTATATTTTTTATTAATAAAAAATCTCTCCTGGGATGAAGAGGATTCCCCATATAGAGATAACTCCGTACAATCATGTGGATTTAATGCCCCAATGCCCACGCAAAACCAAACTTAATAAAAGAAAAAAGTGCCGAAAATTAACATTATATGTACAACCCTAACGCACTGGCGGTTCCTGTTATATAATGGAAGGGGTTTCGGCCAAATTAATTGGTTAGATATTTTTCTTTGTATCTTGCTTAGCTTTTACTTCAGGGGCCCGATTCTCTAACGAGAAACGTATGCGCAAACTCTGCTCTAACAGAAAGGCTGCAAATTGATTGGCTATCGCACAGTTTTTAGCCAATAAGCTTGCAGCTTTTCTGTTAGAGCAGAGTTTACGCATACGTTTGTCGATAGAGAATCGGACCCCAGAATCAATGACAAGAGTACTACATTTACGCGAGCGTTACTTCCGTAGTAACTTACGATAATTTCTTCGTAAACGGGATTTTCCTTCACGTAAACGGGATTTTGTAGTAACTTACGATAATTACTCCGCGTAAAGCTGGCCACACGTACGGCCGTACGTTCCCGAATCGAGTAACACGATTGGTCGAAATCCTACTGTTACTGTTACGAAAAAGTGTGTGTCCGGGCCCTAAACGAGTGATATATCGTAATTAAGTTACTATAGAAGTAACGCTTGCGTAAACGTAGTAAAGGACATATGATAAAACTTCTGATTCTGCTTTAATTTTTTCCTAGATTTTTTAACAGATCTATGGTGCGATCCACTTGGCGCTCCAGACGCTCTTGAAAACATTTCATTCTTGTTGTCCTTTATTAAATGTTACAAGGACAAAATAATGCTCTGAAGCGTTTGAAGCGTCTAATGTCTAATGGATCGCACCCCTAGTAAAATTGGCTTCTTTTATTTGAAAATGCGGGTTTTAATCGCAATCCCTCGTATAGGATCCGGCAGTGCTCAAAATTATCGTGCGTTTTTGCACGTTCTGTTTATTCCCCTTAAAAAAAACCCAATGACATTAACAATAAGCCGCAATGTGTTTCGCCAGAACGAAACATAATTCGTTCCGCAACGCCGCGTTGATCGGGGTTTATTTTATTATACGGAGCTCTGTGTTCTTTCGAAGAAAAGTCGATCCGCTTTCGGAACCGTCGATCAACAGATCCCGCCGTTCAACGCGTTTCATCTCGTGGTAAATTACAAATAGTGATTACAATAGCGGGTGCGGCTGTTGGTAAAGCGACTCCACGTCGCCGCCACGCGTCAGAACGCGCGCCGCGTGCGCTGATCCGTTCCGTTTTTTCAGTTTTCTTTTCTTTCTCTAACCGTCTAACCGGAATTCGAGCGGTTGATCGACGCGGCCGTCGTGGCCGGGAGTGCGTTCCCGCGCTCTCGTAATCGGAACATCAGATCGGACTATTCGGACTTCGACGAATCCCCCGGCCCCGATATCGCCGATCGGTACGTATCGCCGTCGTTCAACGTCGCCGCCGCGTGATACGAGAATATACGAATGCGCTGTAAGACGTAACGCACTGTTTCCGGATTCGCGCGAGGTAATCCCCGTCGGCCTTCGCACTTTACGCCGTCGGCGCCGCAGATACGATACGGAGACGGAGACCTAGAAGCCGGAGCAGGTAGGATCGTTCGGGCCCTTCCTCGACCGAGGTCGGCCGTCGGCCGAGTCCATCTGTCTCCGTCTCCCTCGCACATTCCGTGCCTCTTTCTCTCTTTCTCTCGCGTGATCGTCTTTGCGCACGAGGTTCCCGACGTTCCCGTTTCGCACGATTGCCGTTTGCCGAGAGTAAAACGCCCGACCGATCGTTGGTCGCGAGAAGAGACCGGGATCTCTTCTCGAGGTTGAGGGATCGCAATAACCTCGGTCGCTCCGCGACATTCTGCCATCTGCTGAAACCGCTGCCAATTTCCGCGGCCGTTATCTATTTTCGGAGGAATCGCGTCCAGCCAGTCCGACGAATCCCGACGGAGGACTCCCAGCCAGTTTGGTACGGCCGGATATTTTCGAGGATTGCGTCGCGTGACGTCGATCGCGGGTTGATACGTGTGTCACCACGTCTGAACGTGCGGACGAATCGCGATTACGCGAGATTGTCCACGTGCGACCTCTCTCTTTTTCTCCCTTTATCTCTTTCTCTTACAACCGGACCGTCCTCACCACTGTGTTCTGTTTTAGGAGTCTGTGTGCCGCAGAGAGACCTGTCAGTGAGAACCAGCCGTTTATATTGTCGTAGAAAAGGTCCTTGTTCGCCGTCGAGCAAGAATTTGAACCAGTGAGATATATTTAGTTGCGAAAGTGAGACCGGAGATCTCAATTCCTGCCGCTAGGATGTCTGGAAACAACGATAGCTTTAATAATAATACCTGCGTGGTGTGCTACAAGAATGTCGACATCTACAGCATCGGCATGTGCGAGCATCCCGTATGTTACGAGTGCAGCACTCGGATGAGAGTGCTCTGTCGTCAGAACGAATGTCCCATTTGCCGTCAGGATCTGCCAAAAGTTGTATTCACGCGGGAGATCAAGCCCTTCCACAGTTTGACTGGAACCAACCTGCTGGACACTCGATACGACATTTATTTCAACAGCCTCGATATTCAAGAGAAATTCACTGAATTGTTAGCCAACACCTGCTCGATATGTAAGGAGAAGATGGTCTTTAGCAGTTTCAACAGTTTAAAAGAGCATATGCGACAACGACACGAGCTGCATTATTGCGACCTATGTGTGGACAACTTGAAGGTAGGATTACGTTTAAACGCTCAATTCTTTTAATTGACAAATGGTAGACGAACAATCGCGATGTATCTCGTATCTACTAATTCATCATTTGCTTCTGAACAGATATTTTCGAATGAAAGACGTTGTTACACGAGAGCGAGTCTAGCCACGCATCGGAGGAAAGGCGATGTCGATGATAGGAGTCACAAAGGTCATCCTCTCTGCGAGTTTTGCGATCAGCGGTACATGGACAACGACGAGCTGTACCGGCATCTGAGACGCGACCATCTGTACTGTCATTTCTGCGACGCGGACGGCCTGCATCAGTATTACAGCTCCTACGACTATCTCAGAGACCACTTCCGGCAGGAACATTACCTGTGCGAGGAGGGGGTGTGCGCGGAGGAAAAGTTTACGAGTGTTTTTCGGACCGACATAGATCTCAAGGCACACAAAGCCAGCGTGCATGGTAAGCAGTTGAGTAAAGCCGCCGCCAAACAGGCGAGAACGTTAGAGCTGGAATTCACCTTGGCACCGCGCGGCGAGAATCGGATGAACAGGAGAGGTATGCTGGGCGCGTCCACGTCGAGGAGCGCGAGGGATTACAACGGCAGAGATTACAGTTCCAGGGATTACAATTCCAGGGATTACAATTCCAGGGATTACAATTCCAGGGATTACAGCTCCAGGGATTACAGTTCCAGAGATTACAGTTCCAGGGATTACAGTTCCAGAGATTACCAACAAAGCTCGGTACCTAGCGGTTCCAATTCATTCGTATCCAACAACGAGCCTACCTTTATGAGGCAGCCGTCCGTCGATGTTCAAAGCACAGACGAATTTCCCACGTTAGGTGGTAGTGCCGCTCCTATCGTTCCCACTTTAGCTCAACCCAAAAGCAGAGGCAACGTAACGATTCGCAGCACCGTGAGAAATCAACCGCTCGCGGTAACGGATGAAAACTTTCCGGCGTTAGGTCCGGATTCGTCCGGTCCCAGTATCTCGAAAACTGTGAACTTTAGCGTTTCCAGCAGTAGCAATAGCACGGGATCCAGCGGCTTGTCGCAGTGTCAGAAAGGTTCGACGTCTTCGAACGTCTCCATACAAGTGAACCACGAACCCAACGGCACCGTCACCACCAGAGTATCCGGGCCTAACATCAGGATACGTCCCGCACAGTTGTCGATAGATTCCGATTTTCCTGCGTTGGGCAGCTCCGAACCGTCTACCAGTACTGCCAGTTCGACTCAATGGAAGGAAGTCTTGCAATGGACCTGCTCGAAATCAGCATCGGCAAACACGCCCAAGTCTAAGAAAGTCGCGCCGCCGCCCTCGATACCATCGGCGCCGCCCATTCGATCCGGCGAAGACTTTCCGAGTCTGTCCAAGTCGTCAAAGTCGAAAAAGCAATCGGTAATTACGGTAGTACCGTCATGGGGACAGAATAACGTCCAGAGTTCCAGTATTAGCAACAACACCAAAACAACGATGGATCAAACAAAGGGTAAGACGAAGAAGAAAAAAGCGAAGCAGGCTTCGAGCGGTAATAGTTCGAGTGGTAACGAGTCCAGCGGCTCCAAATCGAATATAAATACTGTTATAACGAAGAAGGACATCGAATTGTCGCATACCGGTGACTCGGACAACTCTCGTGTTGCTTCTAAGGCGAATTTGCAAGCCACGCAGGATACCAACAATGCGAGTGCCGATAATAGCATGTCCAAGAATTCGAGGGAGTGGGAACACGCGAGCAAGAAGGATAAGAGAAAGAACAAGAACAACGCGAACGGAAGTTCGGGAATCGCGACCGTTATAAATACGGAATCCGGAAGCGGAGGCAATGGTTCTTCGAACGGGGAGAAGCAGAGGAAGCGCAGCGAGCTGAAGATAGATAGCCTGAACACGACCAACAATAATATCCATCGGACGGAGGACTTTCCCGCTTTGGGTAGCACGAGTAGCAGACCGCCAGGCTTCACGAATCCGCCACCCGGTTTTGCTTCGCCGACCTTACCGCCACCCGGTTTCTCCATCAAGTACAACAGCCTCGACGGGCTGCACGGTGGCAACGGCTTGACGTTCACAAACAGCTCCGGCGAGAGTTATTCCATCCTACCGGACAACAGCAGCAAGCATGAAGCTCACGACTACGTGTCACCGCCCGATTTTCAAAAACGGAACACTTGTCTGGTGGCGAAGCTCAACGCGGTCCTCGTGGACCAGGACAAGATCGAGGAATTCCGTTACGTGAGCGGCCTCTTTCGCGGTGGCACCTGCGACGCCCAGGAGTATTACACGCACTGTCGCGAAGTTATGGGCGCCAGTGCCTTCGAAAGCGTGTTCCCCGAACTCCTGGTACTGTTGCCGGACATCGTGAAGCAACAAGAGCTATTCAAAGTGCACAAGAGGGAGGCGGGCGGCAAGGCGAAAGGACTAGAGATGTGCGCAACGTGCGGTCAGGTTCTCAAGAACGGTCTGGATTTTAGAACGCATATGTCCAGTCACACGCTCGAGAACCATTTCCCGGCGCTGGGTAAGAGCAATACGCCACCGCCGAGGAACACGTGGGTACGTAAATGAGTCAATTATCCTCCCTCATCGATCATCGTCGTGTTCGTCGTTCCGGAGCACTTGGACAAGCCGAACATCCGCACGCCCAACTGCTGAAAACGGTTGTAAATATGTAACTCTTGTTTTTATACCATCATACCGAGATTGGACCTGTTGCGTTTATCCGATACGTAATACGTAATATTTATTCCAAGAGTCAATCGATCCTTAGTGTTAAAGAACGAAATGTGCATAGAACTAGCGTTGACTATTCGCAATAGACTTGATACCTATTGAGTGAATTCCGAGGCAATATTGATTGAATTAAAAAAAAAAAAAGAATATTATATACCTTGTAGCAAATTCGGGCGCTTGCACTAGTGCGCACTGAATGCGCACTAAAACTTGTTTATAATCTGTTCTCTTATATTTTAAGTCGCTTAAATACATGGTCAAAAACTTATTAGTAAATAAAAAAATCATATAGATGCTTACAGATCATTTTACTGGCTAAAAAGTATTTCAAGAGATATTTAAGATGATCTGTAAATAAGAATTGCCTAAGAATAAGCCTTAGTGCGCACTCGGTGTGCACTGATGCAAGCGGTCGAATTCGCTATCAGAGAGCTTTTACAGGCGGTTATATTTAGGTGTAACGCTTCGAGACCAGCGTGATAAAGGGGAGATAAAATATTTTTTTGTATAATAAACTGAAAAATATATATATAAAGAGAGAGAGAGAAAGAGAGAGGATACTGAATATATGAAAAGTCTGTTACAAGTTATGAAGAGTGGACGTATGCGTATATTATATATGTATAATGACGTCGCGCACTAATGGTTTCAACGATTACCTACTTTTACTGCTGTATTTTAAGACCGTGTACATAAAAGTTCGTAAATAGAAGCGTTCCTTCCTATAATTTATTTGCTATTTCTCGGAATAGAGATGAAATAGAGATTGCTGTGCTATATACGAAAGAATAACACCATACTTTAACAAGTCAAGTTTGATACGTTATACATTATACAGTACTTGTAGCACCACCGTACTGTTTTGTACCGTAACAAAGTTGTACATTTAGTTAACACGACAATACATGATTTTGATGAGCGAGCGAACGAGTACTATTCCTTCGCCGGCTTTATCCATTTCCTTTGTTTTTTTGGTTTTTTTTTTGCTGTGTCGAGCATTAATGGAGGCAAACGCAGTATCTTGACTTCACAAGGTGGAAAAATTGATTGACGTTTATTTGTTTTTTTATATGTTTAAGATTTATTGTGACAATGATTTCTAATCATATCTCTTACAATTTATGTGTCTATTTTTATTAAAAAGGAAAATCGCGGTTCGTAAACCGTAGTTAAGTTTTTTATTTTATTTTCCTTTCGCAGCATTAAAGTTAATCGTTATACTTATCTGTAAAGCCTTACGCAACTAGCAATTACTTATCCCAAAAATTTACTTATATCTATTAGAAGAACAGGAAAGTGCAAACGACCTGTTTATAACATCACATAATACATCGTGTGTCATTCTTCACGAGTAGCACGGACGCAGATCAAAATAGAAAACAAAAATTGTGATAACCGACGTTTTTTTTTCACGTGTAATAATACATGAATAAATCTCTTCCATACAGTTAAATTGATTGGTCGAAAACGATACTATTGTCACTCGATGCATCGAAAGGCAAAATTAGAATTCACTTGGCAAATGATTGGTATGTATGAAAGAACTTAGTACTATGTACAACCTTCGTATATATATATTCTTATAAATGACGTAAGGACCGTTATATCCCGATTCTCCCATCCCTCCTGAACAAATTTCGCTCCTGGAGCAAAGTCCACGCGAATTCGAATCGCGCGTACGACGATGACGAGATGCGGTTCATCAGATCGCTCCTAAAACATCCCCTCGATTCTCGCATTTCGTGTAAATTTCTGTAAACAATCGTGAACGTAGCGAACCTGTTTAAACTGTACATGATAGACGTTACATCGATACAATTTGACAAAGATGGAAAACTGCCGAGAAAACCCTCCCCCTCATACTCGATGAATTAATAGTCCTTAAAAGAATGCCGGATGCGATAAGGCGCTATCACTTTTTGGCCAGTTCGTTACTCAGCCAGTCCAGGCCCTCGTACAGTCCGTTTCCCTGCGTGGCGCAGGTGCTCTGGATGTACCAGTGACGTCCTTTCAGCGAGTTCAGTCCCAGCTTGTCGGTGAGCTCGGCGGCGGTCATGGCGTTGGGTAGATCCTGCTTGTTGGCGAACACCAGCAGCACCGCGTCCCGCAGCTCGTCCTCCTTCAGCATGTTCGCCAGCTCGCGCTCCGCCTCGCCGATACGCTCGCGGTCGTTGCTGTCCACCACGTAGATCAGGCCTTGGGTGTTCTGGAAGTAGTGCCTCCAGAGCGGCCGGATCTTGTCCTGGCCGCCCACGTCCCACACGGTGAAGCAGATATTCCTGTACTCGACCGTCTCGACGTTGAAGCCGATCGTGGGTATCGTGGTGACGATCTCGCCGAGCTTGAGCTTGTAGAGTATGGTGGTCTTGCCGGCGGCGTCCAGGCCCACCATCAGTATCCGCATCTGCTTCTTGCCGAACAGCCGGGTGAGCAGGCTGCTGATCGTGAGACCCATCTTATACCGGAGGCGCGAGTGGAAACGTCGCGCGCGGGACCTCGAGGGCGAGCCGACGGAGACGAGTTCTCCCGTTGATCTTACTGATCCGCGACCGGAGGAGGTCCTGGAGGACCGGAACGGATACCCGGGTACACACCGAACGCCTCCCAACTGCGTGTCCTTTGTGCCGTCCGACGTAGAGTTTCGTCAGCCTGACGTGTACGTGTGCCTGACGAATCTTTCGCCCTCTCGCCCCCCGATACGGCTCCGGACCTCCGGGACGGCAACACACCTTCGGCGAACAGCAAACGTCACCTTGCGGTCGGCGTGCCGCCGGAAATAGGTGGCAAGATTCGCCACGCACGCCACGCACCACCCGGGAATCGAGGAGCCCGCCAGGATCTCGGGGATCGCGCTCCGGACGAGATCGGTGCCCGCGTCTTATCCCGACGATCGGATGTCGCGGAGTACTTCGAACCTTTTTTTTCTTTCGAAATCGCGTCTGGTCTGATCGCGTCAGAGTCGCGTGTTGTCCGTCGGCGGAGATTGACAAAGCGCGGCCATCTCCCTTGCGCACAGCCGCACAGCGAGAGAAGTTTACCGCGCAACGTTGCCGGCCTTGCCGCGCACGATTTGAAAAGCGGACGTGCAATTTTTATTAAATTATTGTCATAATTATTATCGATATTAGGTGCTTTCCATTTACATCAAAACTCAGATAATTCTCACAATTGTGACGTCGTTCTATCCTTTTTGGCAATTAATGAATAATAAAGACAGAATGACATCACAAGTGAGAATTGTCTGAGTTTTGATGTAAATGGAAAGCAACTATTATAATGATTCAATTTTTAAGCGCAACCAAACGTCGAGAAATGATAATGCACTTTTTTTTCTCCGTATTTAGCAACGTTTCAATTGTATGATGCAAAGATTTGTCAAAAGAGATTTTGTTGTAATCATAAATAGAAACTTAAAATTGACTAAAAATGTCAATTTTTTTCTTGTATCCAAAAGTCAAGGCGACTTTAATCAAATTCCGATTAATCAATGATTAATTCAAGCAACAAAATTTCTAGTTATATAATTCGTCATCTCTAATTTTTCTTCTTATGTCAAGTGACAAGAAATAAATAACTCTGTCCATATTAACAAAATAATATGTAATAATATATAAATGAAACACAAAATGTACAATACTTTTAATATCAATGCATAAATATACATAAATAAATTTACAAATACTGTAAAATTTTTCGTGATTTCTCGACATGGGGCCCGAGAGACACGTGTACGTACCTGCCAATGCGTTTTGCGGCCAGCGCTGTGCGATCAAAACGAAAATGGTGGTCGACATGGAGCTGCAGGAAGCTAAGGATCACGTTCTTCAACTGATGAAGGAGAAAGACAAGATTGAGTCTGATCTACGAGCGCTAAAGGAGGTCTTAGACTCCGTATGTATCGTATACTTATTTTGACACCGTGGCAGAGCAAGAGTGACGTTTCCGCCATGTGTGTGGAATACCGCGGAGCTCGCGTCTCGGAGCATGATCTGTCAGATTTTTCAAAGCTTCGCACTACACTCTTCGCGTAATTGCAGAATCACATCGGGATGGACGAGCCGCTGGTGGACTCCGAGGGATATCCCAGGCAGGACATCAACGTTTATCAAGTGAGACACACGAGGCACAAAATAATATGTGCGTAAATACACATCTTAATAATACGAAACTAAACAACGCAGTAACGCAACTCTGTGTGCACGTTATTAAATAATATTGTGTTGTCGTACAGGCCTTAGGAACGATCACAAAGACGTGATGAAGAAGATAGAGGAGGGGTTGCACAGAGTTCACGCTCTAGGGGGAGCGAGTAAAGCTGAAGAGTCAATAGCTGATATACCTGACAGTCAGGAGACAGAAGGGCTGGAGCCTTTCCTCAGGGTGAATTTAGTTTCACCTGGTTCGCCAGCGGAGACTGCGGTAAGCGTTAGCCACGTGCTTTAGCAATTCAACAATTTATCTAATTCCAATTGAATCTACTTATCATAACGTATCTATTTGCCAAAATGATTCTGTTATCATATGCTTAATCAGGCACGAGAAATAAGAGCTGTTGCCGTTTATTCTTTCAGGGCATCCAAGTCGAAGACCTAATATTGGAATTTGGATCTGTTCATTGCCGAAATTTCAAATCTTTAATTGACATTGGAAAGCTGGTGGAAAACAGCAGATATAAGACGGTCAACGTAAAGATCAAACGTGGGTCGAATACTATTGTTCTGTCGCTAATCCCGCGTCCTTGGGTTGGCAAAGGCCTTCTAGGTTGTAACGTGATACCTGTAGAAGTAGTTGAGAGATAAGATTCTGTCGGAGAGAAACATGCAACTATTTTTATAGCCCATAAACTACTTTTATGCATACCTTCCTTAACTAATAATAATAAATGTATCTTTATAAGTTATTACTTCTAATATATTTGCATCATTTTATTAAAAGTCTTTTAATTTAAATTGAAATTTTTTATATTTATGATACAGTCATTGACTCTCACAAATAAAAATAGAATAAATAACTAGAATTAGAATACATTTTCCAGGCGTTACGCTTTTTTATAAGAGACACGCATTTAAAATATTTTTGTAATAATTTTCGTCTTGATTGCACTTGTTGCATTTCTGGTATGTAAAACAAAGTGCATATTTACATTTTAAAGACAGAAGAAAAACGAGATACGTTATATACGTCTCAAATACGATTTTTCATTGGCTAGATATAATTTTTGAATCATCCAACAATAAAATCAGACATGATGACAATAAAATCAATACTGATCAATACGAATAGCGTCCTAGATGTCACTAGTAGCTCGCGACTCGCGACACGTGCGATCGCAAATTGCCAACGCGTATTGTCCAACAAAGTTCCGCTGCGAGTCCCAGGAAGTTTCTCGCTCAATTTTTTCGCGGAAGTAGAATGACGTCAGGAACGACTGATGACTGATGGTGAATGGTGATGACGCATCGATATCGATCAGATCGTACTCTGACAATCGTCGAGCACTCGGAGAACGGAAAGCAGAGCTCAGGAGAGCTGGCTTTACGCAAAATTATGAAATGATTGCGCAGCAGTCGTGCGCCCTCGAAAACGAGTCGAGGGCGCATGAATAAGCGCTTCTCGCTCGCCGCGCGATGACAGAAATGATAAAAATCTGCCTCATGTCGGCCGCCGCGATGCGCGACCGTGCGATCTCGCTCACGCGGGCTCGCGGTCGCCGCGAGCGAAGGAAACGGCGCCGGCGATTGCATCACCTCGGCAATTATGGTGATCGGCGAAATTAACGGTGCGGCGCGATTCGTCCTGCGTGCGCATCAGGTAAACGACGGCCACCCGTCTGACCCGTCTGCCTGGCGGGATGACGACATAACCTTCCGACTTTCCCGAGATCGAGTTGTCCGCTCGCGCTCGACGGTGCACCCCAGCTGTGTCGCACATGAGCCAGATCGCCCACGCGAATCTTCGTGCGACCGCGTCCGGAGTCTGAGAAAGGGAGCACCGACGAGAAAAACATGACGACGAGCGACGCTCAGGTGGAAGAGCGCGCGTTAAACGGCGTCGCCGAGGACGAGGACGTCGTGACGCCGTGGACGGTCGCGAGCGTCAACGATTCCGGGATCGATTATGACAAGTTGATCAGTAAGTCGCCACTTCTTGCGGGAGGCATTCACAATTTGTGATGTCAAACTATTGTCCTTGCAGGCGTACGAAAGGTTTACGCGAAGAACGGATATTTAACTTTCCAGAATTTTGTAGGTTATATTCTTGACAAAAGAGCCGAGTGGAGCGTGTGCTTATAAATCGTTTGTACTCTGAGCTTGTCTCCTTGCAGGTAGCCAATGTATTCTTTTTCTTGCAGAGAGATTTGGAAGTTCGAAGATAGACGACGAGCTGTTAACTAGATTCGAAAAGATCACCGGCAAGAAACCGCATCATTTTCTCAGAAGAGGCATATTCTTCTCCCACAGAGACATGCACACCATTCTGAATCTCTACGAGCAGGGAAAGTTCTTTTACCTGTATACGGGCAGAGGACCGAGCACCGACGCGATGCACCTGGGACACCTCATACCTTTCATGTTCTGCAAATGGTTGCAGGACGTTTTCAACGTTCCGTTGGTCATACAGTTGACGGACGACGAGAAGGCCATATGGAAGAACATAAAGATAGAAGACGCTATTAAACTGGCCTACGCTAATGCTAGAGATATCATTGCCTGTGGCTTCAATCCCGAGAAGACGTTCATCTTTTCCAACCTGGAACATATAGGAAACAATTCGGCGTTTTATCAGAACATGATCAGGATACAGAGATGCGTCACGTTCAATCAAGTAAAGGGCATTTTCGGTTTCGGCGATAGTGATCCAATCGCGAAGATCGCGTTTCCGCCGACGCAGGCGGCGCCGGCCATCTCCGGCTCGTTCCCCTTTATCTTCAAGGACGCTAAGATACCGTGCCTGATACCGTGCGCGATCGATCAGGACCCGTACTTCCGTATGACGAGGGACGTGGCGCCCAGACTGGGTTATCCCAAACCGGCTTTGTTGCACGCGACCTTCTTCCCGGCGTTGCAGGGCTCGAAGACGAAGATGTCGGCGAGCGACAACAGCACGGCGATATTCCTCACGGACACTCCCAAGCTGATCAAGAACAAGGTCAACAAGCACGCGTTCTCGGGCGGTCAGGCCACGGTGGAGGAGCACAGGCAGCTCGGCGGAAACTGCGAGGTGGACATATCTTATCAGTGGCTGCGATTCTTCCTGGAAGACGACGAACGATTGGAACAGATCAGAAAAGTCAGTCTCGTGCCAATTGCTTCGATTCTTGCTCTCGATCTCTAGGGAGACGTACAAATGACATTTTTTTTTATTTTTCAGGGCTATACCAGCGGAGAGATTTTAACGGGTGAGCTGAAGAAGGAGCTGATCGACGTGTTGCAGCGATTGGTCGCTGCGCACCAGGAGGCGAAGAGTAAAGTGACGGATGAAGTAATCAAGCGGTTCATGATACCCAGGGACCTCGGCTTCGTCTCGAAAACGAAGTAACCGTTTAGCAAGCACGCGCCGAATTACGCGAAACATTGTTTCCTGGATATCTCCCATTTCTGCTGGAGCTATCTCTATTTAGACCTATTTATTGCAATACACGCGCCGCAACTACAGAACACATTTTATGATCTTTTCCAAGCACCGCCTTTGTTGGAGGATTAAATTAATTTTTCTATCGATCCGACTTGGTTATTAAAAGGCGATCCCGCATCCTTGTTGAAAAATCCAGAAATTTTCCATCGTCGACTTCGTAAACGGTTTTTTCAGTCGCACGGTGAGATTATAATACAAGGATAAAAACGCTCTGACTTGGACTGATTGTGAATCTCGATTCACTTGATCAGCGATTAATTTAACTGGCAGAATTGCCAGCGCTGCAAAACGTTCAACTATACGATTGTTTCTCCCTATGTATTAAGTAACGCAGGAACAGGCCTGGAGGGTTTGGAATTGTTAAACCTTAGTATCGAAAAAATCAAGCTTATGTTACAATAATTCTAAGGTGTACTTTTTTCGTTCTTTAAATGTTTTTTTTTTTTTCAGTTTCTCCTTACTTTTTTCAGATGTTGAGTAAACAAAAATCTATATTGTCCTCAAGTACTAATAAATTCTAAAACAATCGAATATATGCAATATGTAATAACCATGACTTTTAATTGGAGCGTAAAAATCATCCCAGGTGACCATTTATAAAAAAAAAAATAATAAATGCGCCTGTTTCCAAATTAAATGATAAAAACGTTTAACAAATACATATTTATTTGATCGAAGCCGCCCTCGAAGCGGAAGCGAAAAGGAGAATCTCTACGTCGCGATCTCTCCTCTCCGCGCATGCGTCGCGCGGGGGGAAACTTCTGAATCGCGTGGATTCGAACGGCTGCCGTTTACGTTCCACTTTCTCACAATTATTCGAAACTGGGTCGTGCGATAGAGGTATATACCCACACCTCTCGGGTGCATATACGTCGCGCGTGCATCCTCGCGCGCGCTAGGGGATCAATGAAGCCGATCGCCTCAATCGGCGCGGCGGCGCGACGGCGGGCGGCGGTCCGTGCTTATGGACACTTATAGATAGGATCTCGTGTAAGAGAGGCGGACAAACGCGGATTAATGGAGTGCATCTGGCCGTGATAACGCGTAATCCAATGACCCGTTGACGTTCTCAGCCGTAGCGGAATTCCCATCGGCTATTAAGCCGATCAATAAACCGATCCTGGGATATACAAATAATACTCCGGGGACGGGGGAACGGGACGGTGCGAACGGGGGAAACGCGCGATCCGCCGAATTGATCACGCGGGGGTATACGAGTCGGTCGCGTGACGCGACCGGCCAATTAACGTCGCAAGTAATTATCGGTGACTGCGCGAGATCTATCGGCCGCGAAATCGCGCTCGTAACGCTCGTTTCGCGCGACACCTCGCCGGAGTTAATTCCAGTGCCTCGCGCGCGCGCGTGCGAGAGAGAGAGAGAGAGGAAGAGAGAGAAACAAAAGGAAGGAGAGAGAGAGAGAGCGAGCGCGAGGGGGAGAGGAAGGAGAGCGAGTTAATTTTACCTCGCGCGATGATCCTATAAAACGCGATATCGGGCGGGTGCGAACGGAAATCGCGCGGCGCCGATTGGCCGGCGGTGACGACGGCGCGCGGGCCGCTATTAATAAACCGGCGCACGCGCGTCCCGCCGAACCGCCGTGTGTATCCGCCATTCATGCGAGGAGTCGATTTCGTTGTTTCTGTGTGTGCAGGCACGAGCAACGACGGCGACGGCACGAGCCAGGCAGCGAGCCAGCCAGGCGCAGCAGCCAGCGAGCGAGAAGTAACGAGTACGTGGTGCAACGGTGATAAGTTCGCGCGCGGCCCCACGAAAATACGATGCGAGCGCATTAACTCCGCGAATACGCTGCGATATACCACGCAGTGGCAGCGGCGGCGGCGGCGGCGGCGGGAGCGACGGTGACGACGGCGACGGCGACGGCGGCTAGCAGCAGCGGCGACAGCGACGGCCGACGGCAGTTTGTCGGAGCACGCTTCCCGTTTAGTACCTGAAACGACGATGATCCTTGGTCACGGTCCGCCGACGTAAGTTCTCCGCTTCGTACGCTCGGCAGCCGCGCGAGCAGGAGCCGTGCGTGCGCGCGTGCATGCGTGTGAGCGAGCGAGCAAACTATTTTAGTCGCGAAAATTCGCCGCTGCCAAATAAGAGGTTCCTCGCGCGCGCGTCGTCGCCGTCGCCGTCGTCGTCGTCGTCGTCGTCGTCGTCGTCGGGCAACGGGAGCGCGCGGGGCCATCGCCGTTCGCTCGCGTTATCCGTCGCGTTATCCGCCGCGCGGGACGATATCACGCAGAAAGAACACTGTTAATGACGAGAATACTCAACGGCATATATCGCTCCTTCGCGCGCGGCCACGCGTGGCGTAAGCGATGGATTTACTCGCGCCGGGCGATAACGCGCGCGCTGCCAAAACGCCGCTCGATACGCGGGCTCCAGTCGCGTCGTTGACGTTCCCGTAACGTCGTTCGTCCTCACCTCGGCCTTTGTCATTTGAACCCTCGCGTACGACAAGTAGCTTGCTCGACCGGCTCGACCCGCGTTATCGACGCCCTGTCGTCACCGTGTCAAACGATTGGCGTTCAAATTCCATCTCGTAGAATCCGTTCGCTTCAACATTGGCCAACATTGACGAAACAATAGTGCGGAGCGAAAAATTCTGTTGTAATATAGTAAGGCTTTTGATTTTAGGTAAGAGTGAGACAAGTGGCATTTTGCGGATCGGTAGGAATGATGCTAATCAAATAATAGAGCGAGGAACAAATTAATCAGCTGGTACAATAAATATTCGACGAGTAATATGGGAGCGTTTTTGGATACTCCGAAGACAGAGAAGTGCAACGAGCATGGCACGGGCAACGGTTTGCGGTACGGCGTCGCCAGCATGCAGGGCTGGCGAATGGAGATGGAAGACGCTCACCGAGCCATTCCCTGCTTGGAGGGTGGCCTCTCGGATTGGAGCTACTTCGCGGTGTTTGACGGGCATGCGGGTGCGCTGGTATCGGCGCACAGTGCGGAACACTTATTAGAATGTATAATGCAGACGCAGGAGTTTAAGGCCGAGGATGTTATCAAAGGGATCCACTCCGGATTCCTCAGACTCGACGACGAGATGAGAGATTTGCCCGAGATGAGCGCCGGCACAGACAAGTCCGGCTCCACGGCGGTGTGTGCATTTATATCACCCAAAAATATTTATATCGCCAACTGCGGCGACTCTCGGGCGGTACTCTGCAGGGCTGGACTTCCAGTCTTCTCGACGCGGGATCACAAGCCCGTCTTACCCGCCGAGAAGGAGAGAATTCAGAACGCGGGCGGTAGCGTAATGATCCAAAGAGTTAACGGATCTCTGGCGGTTTCCCGGGCATTGGGTGATTACGAGTACAAAAATCTGAAAGATCGAGGCCCCTGTGAGCAGTTAGTGTCGCCGGAACCAGAAATATTCGTGCTAGACAGGGACGATGAACACGACGAGTTTCTAGTTTTAGCATGTGATGGCATTTGGGATGTAATGAACAACGAAGATTTATGTAATTTTATACGTTCAAGGCTGCAGCTAACTGATGATTTAGAAGCAGTTACCAATCTGGTTGTAGACACTTGTCTTTATAAGGTATTTCATTGTATTATATATGTATATTTTTTTTACGTTAGACATGTATCATCTGTATTTTTGTGTAAAAAGTACCTTGACTATAGTTGTATGGAATAACTGCAAAAGACTTTTGATAATGATAATTGATATATTTTTATTTTACAAGGATGCACTCACAGATCAATCTAAAATTTTATTACAGGGTAGCAGAGATAATATGAGTATAGTTCTGGTAACGTTTCCGGCTGCACCAAAACCAAATTCTGAAGCTCAGACGCAGGAGGCTGTGCTGGAAATGGCAATTGCAAGGAAAATTAAAGGTTCTTTAACTTTTCCATATTTTAATTCATTATATTCTTTATGTTGTTGCATTAATTCAAGATCACGATGCCACTTACATCACGAAAATGACATAGTAAATTAATGTTTGTGTTGATATAAAATAGATGTAAGATGAGAGATTCTTCCTAATCCATATTTAATAGAAATTTGCACAATTGTGAAGAATTTGATTAGTGTCAAAGCATATAAAAATATATTCTCCATAAAAATATTACTATGAAAGTTGTTATATGAAAAATCTATTTTTAGCAATATAAATTCTTTTATTCTTAGATATTTACAACGCTGCATATACTGCAGCTTAGTGGGAAAAAAAAAGAATAGAAAGAGACCAATCATAATAATAGGATGAATGACTTCAGTATATTAGCTTGCAACTGTTTGCATACGGTTACAAGTGGTGTGCATTAAGCAATTAAAAGTTTGATAGAGAAAATAATAGTATTATAATATTGTTAGAACAATGTTGTCGTTGACAAACGTTGATTTATTATTGTGTTATTAGAGGTGATGTGTATCTATATTCTAAAAATTTATAGATATATAAAATTCAAAACAGCAATATTTTCAATGTCGCATAGATGTAATCTAATCTAGTCCGAGATCAAGAGTTTTATTTTCAGAATAATCTTATATTTGCAATCTACATATCACTGTGTGCCACAAGATATAACTAGTCCATTACACACAAAGCAATCTTTTACAAAAGTGATAAAAAAACGTTTTCCAGTGTTTTAATGTGCGTACAGTAATAAAATAACAACTTAAAAACTCTTTAAAATATTTACATTAACTTTAATTGTGATTTGAAAACCAAATGTAAATGCCAAAGCTTGCACAATCTATTGTACAAATTATGTGTAATAATAACCACGAATGTGTGATTTCCCATTTTTTAACGTTGCACTTTGTGGTTAATAAAGTTGATGTCTCGTATGATATATCTGTCACATGAGAAAACATTTATAAACTGTTGATGTCTCATATCGTCCTGTGTGTGCAAAAGCGCATATTTGTTTCACTTCAATGAATTTTATTCACATTGCATCTGTTATATTTTCCAAAATTCTCTATGAGCTCGATACAAAGCTCACCGATTTTCTTATGAAATTAAATTTAGTATATATGTATATGGTACGTGAAAACAGATGCAATAATTCATGTGCTGAAATATATCTGTATTTCCTCAGATCTCACGTTAAAACTGTGTATACCCGACTAATGTAACACATATCTCAAAGATACTAACTTGTGCTATGAGAGGGCTGTTATTAAGAGTATTAAATTATATTGTAATACAATCATGATTGTTTCCTAAATATTAATATTGTTATAAAAGTGCGTAAGTTACAAAGCTTTAAAGATACGAGTACAATCTTAATGTATAGTAATACAAAAATATTATAAAAATAACCCATATATAAGAAAAGTATATATATATATATTTATAATATTATTCCATGAGAAAAATATTTTATAGTAATTTTAGCCAACTCTATATATGATTTATTAAAAATGTTGCATTAATGCTATATTTATTAAGCATAAAAAGGGCATAAAGGTTTGAAATTTCATAATGAGTCATCTTATTCGGTCGAAAATGAGTTTGTTTTTCTGTTTTCCCGGCAATATTAGAATACAAGAACGATTTTATTAAATTAATCGAAAGAAAATTTACATATGGATTGTACTCCAACATCTCGGCACCGTCCATCTGGAAAGGCTCATCGTGAAAACTCACAAACATCTGCGCCCTATTTATGACCAAATTAAATCAATGTGTTTCATATCATTCTCTTAAAGAGAGAGAGAGAGAGAGGGAGAGGGAGAGAAAGAAAGAGAAATTAGTCTAGTATTATGAAATTAGTACATATTATTTCGTCATGTAATGACAGAAGTTATCAATAAATATTTTGCGAAATTGTTGCTGAAAGATGTGTTCCACCCTTGGAGTTGATAAATTAACCTAAAGCTAAATCTCTAAGTAGAAACTATATATATATGAAAGAAAGTTGTTCCTCTTGTTTATGTTTGTTCCTCTTAAAGTTCATCTAAACATAAGGTAGGTGCAAATTTTCTTACGAGACTCTAACATTGTCTATTATATATTTTCGATATCAACTTAAATAGCAATGCATTTCTTATGGAGGAACATTGCAACAGATTTTATTTTCTTTTTTTTCCCATAAACTAATATCCGAAGGATATACAATTCCAGAGGTGGACAATCATATGTTGAAAGCTCGACTAAAATGTATCTACTTAAGACAAGAGTATGTTTCCATAAGAAATGTAATGTACAATCTACTCTTCCAGTCCTAAGTAGATGCATGTACACAATTGTATTGTATGTGCGTGCGTGTGTGTTTCGATATTTGCTAATTATTTTACATTTGCTAATAATATTCCTGCAAGCATCTTGACAAACCGCATGTGAAAAAAATCATTGTATTATTGGTATCATTATAAATTGACATGTACAAGCATAGTTTATATTTTTCCAAGCAGATTATCAGATTTTTATTCTTATTTTAAAATTATTTATTGTTAATAGAGAGGAATATATATGGAAATATACACTTATATATAATTACACATGAATGCGTAAAATGACAGTGGTTCTAAAAAGCAAATAATCGCTATCATTACATTTATGTAAAATTTGAATTCTAAATATTGAGTCATATTAAGCACTTTTCATTATGCATATGTTTTGATAGTTGCATTTAGAATTGCACACATAATCTAAGAAAAACACATAATTAGTTACTATATTATTTATAAATGAAAATTTAATATAACTTTCTAATAATAGATATGAGTTACCTTAATATTTTTCTTCTGTATTTGTAGAAATAATCGCCCAAGAGGAGGATAAGAGTGAATTTGACTACCTAAAAATGCTTGAACTTCTTAGAGGAAGCGACCAAGATTTTCCTTACCTGCCTCCTGGTGGTGGTCTTCACGCAAAGTAAGTTTAGTAATATCAAAATACAATTTTTAGAAATCATATATATATATATATATATATATAGTCACACTGTTAAATACTTATATAAAAATTCTTAGTAACAAGTTTTTTTTAAATTTTAAATATTTTTTGTTTTACTGGCAGTCATTGTTAAAGGGGTTAGTTTCTGTACAGCTGAATATTACATAATTTTGATATGAAAAAGATGAATCATACTTACGTAACATGTACACACACACATAAATATATATACACATACATAATTGGTTTGAAGAAGATATTTTAGAATATATTTAGCACATTTAGTTATATTTGTCAATAAAAACTGAGAATAAACTTTTTACTATCTCCGTGGTGAGTTCACGGTAATGTTAACGTTGCTACTACCAAATACAACCGAATCGACAGTCTTCTACCAATTTTGAATTTGGCTAGATTCCAGAATATAATTAGATCTGTCGTGAGAGCCCAATAATTTTATACTTGACCTTCTCCAAATGCACCTGAATGTACTTGCTCTCTCGGAGATTTCATAATGTACAATGACCATATTTATCTTTTCCTTTCAGGCAACCTTTCATCGAGAAAATGTTTCGAGAAATGTGTCCCAGCAAAGCGCATTCTGTAAGTGTTGGATACATCCCTTTGACATAACTAACCCTCGATCGTTTTCTAAACTGCATCAAATGTACAATTATATAATAATAAGACATGTTCCATATTCATATAAAGATGCAGATTTACCGTGGAAACATTTATTTGAATAGTAATCCCTAATGTAAGGAAATCCTATCAGTGTTAAAGAAAAATTACGATGTTGTACTATAAACTGGTGAGTCTTGACAGAACTAAGTTTCGTAAGTCTCGTAAAGCATATAATTAGTAGACTTCTACAAAGTGACCCACGATTGGCACAACGTAAATTAGTGCGTAAATTAATTAAATATTATGCAGTATAAATTAATTAAATATTACGTACTTTTGTAAGTGTTTCTATTCATCTATCTATACTATTTGTTTAAAAACTCAAGCTATGCAAAAGTTTTCTTATCCATCGTAACTTTAGTAATCGCAACAACCATTGAAACATTATCCGGGATTATGAATCTATCTAAGGAATATATTACTCTTAAAATATCACAAGATTTATTTTAGAAATATGGCTGAAACTTAAGCGCTGTATCGATAATGAACATATTTACTTAACTAAGTTCCACTATTTTGTGCAAATTATTAATTTGCAGATTAAGCCAGTTAATAATTTTAAATGGAATAATAGTACAAGTGAAATATCAATTACAAAGGGACTAAGGATAATTAAAAATATTTACTTTTATTTTTAATTTTAACACGCACTCCTATTATTTTGAACAATATTTTACTTAGAATATGAGAAAGTCGAACAAATGAAATGCTTTATATGCAGATATAAGAAAACATTTTTACAATTGATGGCATATTTCAGGAGAAAATGTAAAGCAGATTGTGTTACATGGTTTACAAGTAATCCCAATTAATTTATGGATTTTTGTCACCATTGAATTATTTTTTATAATTATCACTATTGTTGGATTTTATAAATTTCTTTTTCATTCAGGGAAGAAAAAAATGTTTATATTACAGTTATTATATAAGCAGAGGGTTAAACAGATGTTACACTAAAAATTAGATATACAAGCTGGAATAAAAATGGAAAAAACTAGATAATATAAAAACTAATCAAGGTGTAAGTTTTAATATAAATATGTAAAAAAAATGTAGAGAGCATAATATGTTATTATGTACGCATTTATTTGGAGATACTTAAAAAAAATGATGTTTTTAAATATTTAATTACTGTGAAATTTGCACAACAGAGTATACATTTTATACCGCTTGTATGGCTCTTTTACACGCGAACAGGATTTAACGTTACTTTTATCAAGAATGTATTTTCCTCAAAACTGTAAAAAAATTTCTGTATTACAATACATACGTGATACATTATGAAGCGAGATTTTCATGGAACTCAATAAGAATTCAGTAGAAAATTTCTGTCATACCCTCTTGCCATGTTGATAAAAAAATGCATAATATTGCGATATACAATTATATATTTTTGTAGATCTAGGAAAAATTAGCGCTCAGAATATATATATATCTTCTTCGATCGGTATTTCCTACTCTTCATTTATAATTAGTTTTCGATGTTTATGGAATTATCAGTCCAATGTACTTCATAAACACAGAAACTTTTTACAGGAGAAGAGTAGGAAGAAAACTGATTGTTTAGTTTTAAAATTATCAGTCCTGTATATATACACACAGAAGAGTTATCTAAGAAACAGTGTACCGATATTTTCGTCAAGTAATTTTAAAGATGAGAATACACTTATAACACACTTAACAAGGAGGCCTTGAGTTTAGTTTCCCATAATGTTATTTCATAAATTTTATATTCGACTTTATATTTGTCTACCCAATCATAATAGATTAAACTGTTGTATTTAATGTATATTTGGAGATAGGGTAAATATATTATTAAATATGCAATTCAAACATATTGTATGCAATTTAATCAACAATGTTAGAATAAAACATTTACCACCAATACATATATAAATACATAAATCAGCTTTATGAATAATGGAATAACGCATATCAAGCATTAACTCATTTATCTTTAACTTTTGTAATCATTTTCCACGCATATAAAAACGCATCTTTTAGGGCAAAAGTGGAAACTATATATCAAGGCCATCCTCGTGCATACGCGATGGAGTATACATGTACCAAAGTATAATTACCGTTTCTGGTTATAAAAAGGAATGTCCCGAAATTAACAAAGTTAACACGCAATCTATTACCCATTTTTTTTTAAGTAATATAGTAGAAATAAAAATATATAAATCTTATACAGAGAACGGATTAACCTTCTATTTTTACTAACGATGTCTCATTAAATGGAAATGTGAAGATACTATAAATATATTTCGCTGGTACTTCAAACTTTTTCTTTCAAATTTAATCAATAGGACGCGAAAGTTCATGACATTCCGCGATGATGTCCGTCTCAGATGGACAATGCTAAGATGTGCATGGAGGTGATTCAATAATATATAATCATTTTCACAGAATCTGAGCAAGACCTTCCTTCCACTATTATTAGTTAAGAAATAATCTTGGATCGTCCGAGCAAGAATGGCTCACCATGAAAACTTCATGAATTTTCGCGATCTATTAATCACTAATATCATTTCTTAATTTTATTAACAAAAACTACACGAAGTATTAGATTTTCACAAGATTGTGAATTGCAGAATAAACATATTACAGATATACGTGAAGCTTTATAATTTTCTGAAGTGATTGAAGTCTGGTTAGAAACATTATATAGAGAGTGTATCTAGACTACGAATTTATAAAGATAGTTTGATAGAGCTGAATATCCTTTTACTAAGCTTTCGTGCCTCATCTAGTGACAATGATATAACGCCCATATTAATGGTATGTGTTTTCACCTCGTTGCAAACAATCTATATAACTGTAGAGACATGCTTTTTAATGAAAAATTAAATATTTGGTGGCATAACACATAATCTTAATTTGATAATAATTTACAAACACTACTGATCATTTATTGTTAATGCATGTCACTTATTTCATAAAAATTTGAGTTCGAATTTTAACATGTGGATGGATCTTTCTGTAGTAAATTTATGTAATGACTTTTTTTAACATATAGTCCTATTCTGTATATTGAATATAATTCACATTATTAATTCGAACATTTCATAAAATTTGAAAGAGAAGCAATTATATGAAAGAGCAATGTTTTTCAAACATTTCAATATTTGCATTCTTTTTTAATATTTCAATATTTGTGTGTATTCTACATCAGAACCGAATGTTAAGACAAAAAAATTATGCTATGTAAAATATATGCTTTCAGGAAAACAAAAAAAGTAGTATTTTATTAATATTATGTTATGTAAAATTATGTATCAGTTAAGTTCAATTTGCATAATTGTAGTGAAGAGATAACTATTATACTGCATTTATTTCTTTTTGTGATCTTTTAATTGTTTTAAATGTTATTCACAATATTAATTATAGGATTATAGAAAATTTGCAATCACTAATTTTATTATTGGGGAATTGTTGTAATGTCGTATATGTATCCTTATTACAATCTTTTTAGATCCTAATTATGTTTAATTCTTTAAATTTCTTAAAAAACAAAAATTAGCATTAAATAAACAGCTTTCATGCAATATTCACTTATTAAATCAGTGCTTCACGAATGCTAGATGATCTATGGCACTTGAGAGATCCTTTCTTTTAAATATCAGTGTCATGTTTTTTTCTGATGAATCAAATCTTGTACAATTGTTTTTTCCGTAGGAAGAAATTACATTAAACAAACATTTGTTTAATTTTATTTCAATTTTTGATGAATTTGGAAAGAATGAACGTTTGTACCTCAACACTAATCTATCACAAATTACTCTTTATTCTTGTTAAGTCTTTTCAGCCCTTCCTAATTTTTCTGTTAAGCCAGAGCACAAGTCTGCCAGGGATACACAGATCCCCACTGACCAAGCTTAATAACAGCTGTTAAAATTTTGATACATCACAGCTTCTACTTGATCTTTTTTTTCTAATTTAATTGTAAGAGAAAATCATAAAAGAAATCATGTATATTGTTGTTTTCAAGATGGAAACATTAGAATTAACACACATTTTTATGCGGCGTTTGAAGTATACAGACAGAGTTAAGGAAACAGAAAAGGAAGCTAAGATCTTACAATAAGCGCCTGTCGTATACTGCAAAATTTTTGGCGTTTTAAATGCGGTATGACGCTACTATTTTAGATATATTATTATTGTCGTGTGTAGAGTCGTCGACATGATTGTACAATACCTGTCTATGTTTATTGTACATAATACGCATAATTAAAATGATTTGATGGGAACAAGTCTTTCGTTTTTCGCCATTAATAAGCGTATGTGATTTCTGACGCTTTACCTATTTCCAAGCAATTTGCTAAATATAAAATGTGTCGTTAGCTGTTACATTGCTCCTACAACGAACTTGGATTATTCTGCTCTAATTTTCATTTCAAATAATATGGTTTTGTTTATAGTGTTCAGAAAAGGGTAAACGTGGTAATAATCGTCTGTTATACAAACAGACGATTACGCTGAAAAAATAAGGTTTGCCTGAATATTCGGCGAAGCTTATTTTTTTACAATAAAAAGTTATGTGTTTTGCACCGTAGTATTATTGTGATTAATTAGAAAACCTTCGTACGATACAGCAGCAGTAAATACGATAAAGTTATCAGTTATTACTTCTATCAAAAATAAGAACGTAAAGAATGGAGTGATCCGAGTTTATATGTATATATGTAGGTTTTTCGATAAAAAATTTTGAGTAGATTTTTTTTATATTAATATTACGTTCTTCTTTAGTTAGTAAATACGTTTTCCCTAGAAATATGCTATTGATATTATCAATAATTATGAATCAATAATTATTATTAATAATCGATATGAATATCCGACATCCTATACTTGGTAAAATATTTTCACAAAATTGTGTTTAACACTCTAATATTTACCTTTAGACAATACCACTTTATAATTATCTAGTATTTTTTGCATGATTGAAATGTGTATTATCTTAATATTATTATCCTATAAGAGAAAGCGATATTTTATTTATTTGAAGAACTGCAAAATAGTATGTTAAGAATTTTTAGAAAGAGAACATATAGAATTTTGGTTCTTCAGGTAAATATCCTATTATTATTTTTTTTTAGTATTATTTTCATGATAAGGAGTCACTTGACAAGATTGTAGTTAGAAGTTTATTGTTGTTGCGTTACACTTATAATATAATGAATGGAATCGTGATGTTCTTAATATCTGAAAATGATAAATTAATGAAATTTTAATAATAATCTTCTAATCATCATTAATAATATTCCAATGCATGTAAGTATGGAATTTATTTATTTGGAATATTAAGTATATTATATAGAGTGGTATTGTTATTAGATTTATACATGTTAATATATCAAATATAACAAACTTTGTGAAATTATTAATTAAATATATTTGTATTGCGTAAAAATATAAATATGAAGTTCAAGATTAGATTAATAATTGTAAAGTCAAGTTTCAAATTGGAAGCTAAAAATTAGGAAGCTTAAATATAGATATAGATAACATGATATCAATATCATTATTCTTGTATTGTCTTATGTCTTGTAGATAAAAGAAGTTGTGTACAAATATTTCGTATTTAACATAAAATTGTACACAATTACTTTTATCTACGAGAAATTGTGCAAAAATTTTCATAACATGACAATTTGCCAAATTAGAAGATATTTAATCAATCTTTGAAAGTACTTAATCAAAGGTATATCTGTCCATAAGAAACGAAATAATGTGACTATTAAACCTCCAGAAAAAGATGTGTATGCAAAAATTAAAGTAGTATATAATGATGTGCTTACAGAATTCACAGAGCAGTTAATGTATACAATATGTATACGATTTCATACATGCGAAATTGCAATAGACTGGCCAATCCGAAAGTGGTGAAAATGAGATATCTATCATCAAGAGTCATAATGGAGTACTCTACATGAGCAGAGACTGTGCAGAGTGGTAATTGCATAATGTCAGTTTTTTTTTTAAGTCGTTACTTACGCGTAGTTAAAGGAACACATTGTACAAAGCATTTTCTCTTGTAAGAGTAAAACGGAAAAAGATTGGGAAAATTCTCTTTTAATATATATATCTCAGACATACATTTTTTACTCCTTTTATACATCGAATTATACACGAAACATCTTCACGATATGTGTTTAGTTGTAATAAAATTTTATCAGCCTCAGCAGAGATAATCATAACTTTGAAGTAAAATTATGCTACATAAGTAACTGATAACTATGTAAAAATGTTAAATTATTATAAGATTACTCTTGGTTATTAAATTAGAAATCCCAAATATATTGCCCATAATGTTAAAAAGGCTATTCTAGGATTTTATATATATATTTCTTTGGATTGATACATGTAAAATTACATTTAGTTTATTTTAATGAAAAAAATGAACATAGCATAATTCACATGTAAACACAATGTATATTATGTAACTGTAGAAAATTGATGTATTCTTCACTTGATATTGCTGTATAATTGTATGCATAACAGGCTTCAAGGCGTAGTTAATTTTTTTATATTATATTTGGTTGTATTGCACTTCTTATGCAATTAAAGCAATTTTATTCGACCCTAAATAAAATAAACCTCTTTGCTTTTTATATGAAAATAGAAACCAATATTTATGTATTTCTTTTTCTATTATACAAGACTTATTTATCTGGCATCTCTTATTCCTTCGATCTGCCTACTAGCTAATTTATTATACTGGTTCAGTAGCATATACATATACATATATAAGAAGGTATGCATTCACTTATATATAAATACAACACTACAAAGATTATTTTTATATGTTTATTCCAAAATATTGAAGATGATACAAAAGATCTAAAATGGTATGGGCATACCGTTATTGATATATTTAAAAAGTATGCGATTTTTCTTATTGATATTACTTAAATATACAGCAATAACAATAAAAAAACAGATCCTAGTTTATTCGAGGTATCACAATGCATCTTTGTTCAGATAAAACATAGCCATTTTACGGTAAGATAAAAACTGTATATTCGCCCATCCACACACGCCCACATACATATGAAATACTTACGCTATTTCATACATTTTATTGTACATTTCCAAAAATGTGATTTAAATTGTTGCGCTTTGTATAATTCAAATTTGCCATTATCTACTCCAACTTAAATATTATCTAATTTAAAATATATACTGGTAACGCCTGTTTTAATACTACAAACAGCAACCATGTCAAAATAATTACACACATACACACACACACATACACCAACACACACACACATAAACATATATACATACATACATATATATATATATGTATATATGTTATTAAATAAGATATACAATTGTGCTAAATTATATGTAGATTTATGTTTGATAACATTTCAATATTGTAATTTGTGAAAATTTTTTCCTCTCTGTCATATGTTTATAAAACGCTGTAACATTATTCAGAAAATTGGATATGTGCATAAGAAAATTATGCAGCATTGTAATGAATAAGTATCTATTTGTCTACCCACATCTTTTCTCGTGTTTTTATTCTTATAGCGTCTAAAAAAAATATTCGGTTTATAAGAAATTTTAATGTCTGATGATAAATGTTTCACAAAAAGCATTTTCATCATAAATTATGAAATATATTATGTCTACATTTACGTTGACTTCACAATTGTCAACAAATTATTAACTATCTTCACCCTGGTCTTCAAGACATCGGATGACCAGGAATAAGTTACTATTTCTAAAAAATATGAAGTTCAATGCACTGTACAAAAATAAAATAGGATTACTGTAGATTGACTGGACTAAATATTAAAATTTGAAAACCATATTGTTAACTATCTATTTTATAGAACTGTTTACTAATTTCTTATGGATGATCATATATTCTACAATGACCACAATACTATTTTTATCAATATGCTCTCGTCTTAATATACTTAATATAATCAAATCAGTTAACGTAATGTACTTTACAATACTTTTCCCTTATACTATTAAGTATAAAATGTCTAACAAATCTTATTTTTATACTCTATGGTAAAAAATATACAATGTACACAATAGTCTCTCACATATAATAAATAATGTAATGTACGTATTCTTCACAACCAAAAATTGACCAAAATATTTCAGCACTTATTTTAGCATATCGAATAAATACACTGATTTATTCAATATTATTTAGCAACAAATGCATTATGTTATTGCAATCGAAGATTCTTGTCGCCAACCAAAAAATAGCAAAAAATTAGTTACAATCTTAAGATATGTGTTCACAAAGACTTTTATACAGATTCTAATACTAATTCTGCATCAAATGAGTCCGGCAATATAAAATATATTAATGATTATTTAATGACATATTTAATAGAGGGAAGGATATCTTACTTGTAGGGATATATGATCGCATGAGCGATGAGCATAGAAAAGGCAGTCATTGCATATTTATATGTTCTACCATAACAAATTCTATATATCGGTATACATCTCTGTGCTAATTAACATACATCTTGTTTTGTAGACCATTAGTATACATTTTAATATATCACAATCTAATATTTTCGTGTGGTGCAATTGAAATATAAAATGTCCGTAAATTTATTAAACAGCCAGTTTATTAATCCTTCTCTAGTTACTTTAGATTCGAGCTAAGTTAGATATCAGATCTAACGGAATCTGTCACAGCGTATTTGAACTACTTTGAATGTCACGTGTAAGTTAAGAAAGTCATATTTACATGTTGATTTCAAATCACGTCCGTTTTCCCCTATGATATACAAATATTATAATAATATAAATATCATTTTCACTTCGAAGCACTTCTTCGGAGTTTCTGTCCTTTGATTTGAAGAATTTGAAATATACAGTGAATATATCTATATCGAAAGAAACTTATTGGTCAAAAGGAAAAAGTTATTTATTAGTCCAACCTCGCCAAATCGAAGCGATACTGGCTGCCGCACTTGTTACCAAGCCACCAGCGACGCTCTGATGCACTTGCATACTAGAAGATTGCTGACTAATCATCGCACCAGAAGTAGGTACTGCCATTTCGGGACAAGCGATACTTGGTACCTACATAATATACCACCATGAATACAAGCACCCGTCAATCATGTTTCCATTGCTCGAGATTCGTTATACAGAAGCGTATATAACTTACAGAAGTATGACTTACAGCCTCCCATCCCCAACACAGGTCTTCTTCATCGGAAGCTGAATCATCGCTATTTTCCAAATCAGGAACTAATTGATTGTGAAGTTGTGCTATTACAGACGGATCAACTTCCATTGGTCCAATTCTATAACATACGGTACACAGATACGGTTATCATAATTTTACAAATTCGATTCTATTTATTAAAATCAGTAAAATTCTTGTGAATTACCTTCCGAGATCACTAATTTCAGTATTGAGCAAATGCATCAGGTTTTGTAATGTATGCATGGGATGTAAAACTTCTATTTTCGTATTTTGCGTAAGACACAAATGTAATACATTACTATTTAGCCTTGCTACTTTTCTAGCGAATTTTTGGTCCGACAACTCATTTCCGCAAAACTCTCTGAGAGAACATAACGGGATGAAGAAAATATTACAAACAGCTTTGTTCATACATTATAATAACTAAAGTTAATAAAAATAGACAGGGAGAGAAAAATAAAGAATATATCTGCACGTAGCATATATATAACTCTTGATACATACCCGCAAGTAATTTTGTATGGTAGTCTTACATTAATATAATAGGCAAGAACGTTAACCAATTGTGTAGCGTACGTCAAAGCAGCACTGATATTATACGCTGGATTGTGCATCGCATTTTCTTTGTTCGTACCTGGTACTCCATCTTTATTTGCTGCAACTAAATGTAACACGATTATACTTACGTATTAATACGTATAATATCGTTAATCAATATAGGAATAAATACAATTACCCCAAAGAGAATAAGCGCTGTAGTCTCCTGTCGCTGGTAACGTTGGTTCAACTATACAATGATGAATTTCCAAAGAACTTTCTTTCTCGCTAATCCACCTACCCCGTACATATGACGTACCTGAAGCATCTGCTAATGCGCTAGTAAGGATATCCGAAGTGGCACTGTCGCTGTCCTCGCTGTTGCACAAACTATAAATAACATCCAAACTATAAATAACAAACTATAATATATTAACAATCTACGAGATCGACATTTTTAGCAATTCTATGTCATTGTGCATGTAATAATATAAGTGAGTAATAATATAAGAATTAGTAATAAGTATTATAATTAAAATTTGTGTGTGTGTGTGTGTGTGTGTGTGTGTGTGTGTGTGTATTCTAATATTAAAATCAATACATTTTATATTTAGAATATCTGTGTGGTTGAAGAGAAAGATTTTTGAGATAAAATCTAATACCTTCTATTTGGTTGGACCTTAGATAAGGGAAAAATATACTGAATCAACTGCTTGGCGGCAGTTCTGATAACTTTCTTTAATTGCTCCCTTTTCCTGTCCACAGCTTCCTTCTGTTTCTCCTGCTTTACTTTCAAGCCATTAACATAACGATGTAATTTCTCTATTCTGTCCTCGTGCCGTGGCACTCGAAAGCCCAACTGATGATTAACATCTTTCAAAACATCCAAACGTTGCTGGCCTACGTGTAAAAAAAATATTAAGTAATTAATGGGAGAGAGACAGCTATAGATCAAGTATATTATCACTTGCAGATTTTAAATCTTACCTCTAAAGATACTTTGCTTTGTTTCATTTACTAAAGACTGAAGTAGTCTGACTCTTTCTTTACACGTATTTATATCACAAATCTGAAATTACAGATTCAAAATGAAACGTTGCATCACTGCAGTAAACATGTTGACCAAGATAATATTTTACTTGCTAATTGCACGATTACATGCATTTGTTCAAATTACGTGATAATTTTCTGTATAACAGCTTTCATTTAACTACATTAAAAAGACGGACTTGTTGGCAGGGAACTTCTTCGTGCTCAGGTATTAAAATAAATGTGTATCTATAAAGAATAACGTCCATTGTCTCTTTACATATGGATATCATTACAGCTTTATAAAACGGAAGATAATTATTATTTCTACAGGTACCAGTTTATCCCTTTGCTTATGCCTCTCGAGAGCCTTCATGCACTTCTCCTCCAGCTGGGCTCTAGCAGCCTTCAGCCGTACCAGCCGCATCTGCTTATCCGCGAACCTAAATAACATCATCGGTAATTATAACTCACAACCACAGCTCGAGCGAGTTGAGCAGTTCCGGAGCAACCTCACTAGACAGCTATAACGTATTCTCAGAAATAACGCGCTCCATGGCCTCGGTCGGATCTTAAAGATGTAAGAAAAAAAAGAGAGAAAAAACCAGCGAGCTGCTCCGTTCGCGGAAAATGTAAGAGAGAAGATAAACGTGACATCAGACGCACCGTTCGGAGTAGACGGTGTTCGAATGTATAAAATCCCCATTCTGGACGCACTGGCGGCAATAAAAAATCCGACGGCTGTTATGGCACAACGGGCACTTGAGCAGGTTCATGCTCAGGCGACTCGACGCGTCCTCGAGCTCGGACGAGAGCTGGAAGTCCGCGGGCGCGGTGCAGGAGCCGTCGGAGCTACTCGTCGCCATAACCAACAGCAGCGACAGCGACGACAGCGGCAGCAGCAACAGCAGCAGCAGGCAGCAGGCAACGGTGGCAAGTGCAATGGCAACGGCAGCGGGAAAACGACGGGCCCTCCTCCTCTTCCTCCGACTGGCTTGTGTTGTGTTCTTGTGTTGTGCCTCATCAGCTGATCCGCGACTATTTACTCGCGCCGCCGCGCTGCGCTGCGCCGCGCGCCCTTCTTCTCTACCCCCTCGTCCCGTCGTTTGCTCCAAAAAGTCCAAAGCTGTGTGTCTTTCGCCCTGACGTCACGCGATGATTTCCGACCAATGCCGTTCGATGAGGAAAATGTCGCTTTCTTTCTCCAGATTTATCCTGGATTTATGGAAGTTCTGTCATTTTTTACATCCTCAAGATTAGGGTCTGTTTGAATTTTTTAAAACTATTTCTTCAAATTTTCTGAACAATTTATTGCAATTTATTTATTTTTTAACCTGACCTGACCAATCAGATGATGGTTCATCAGAGGCATTACATTACGATTGGTTCGTGCTAAAATATCGCGTGGACCGTTTATCAATTATTTGTAAATTACGCTTAAAGTTGGCGGCAAAATTTGGAACGAACTCGACAGCTGATAGTGAGCTGACATCCGTGTGAGAAACATGGCGAAGTTAACCCATGTCATGTGGGGCCTGTCTTCAAACTTTGTGGCGAATCGGTATTTCTCTCGATTGTTGGTGTGAGTAATATTTAAATTTTATCTCGTTGGCACGCTAAATCTCACATGTTCATGTTACGTAATATATAACATTTTATTACATTATCTTAAAACGTGAAAACGTATAATCATACATCTCGCAATATACATATACATATTATTTTGTGTAGAGTTCAATATATATATATATATATTTTTTTTAAGTATTTCAATAAAAAATATATAATTGTATTAAAAAATATTGGAACATTATAAAAAAATAAAAATATAATCAATACAAAGATTCCTGATTTATTTCCAGCTCACCATGGTACAATGTATCCGTGGTTACATCATCCCGAGGAGTGTCAACGAACACTGCTGTCAAGCCTACAGATGATTTGATCATCAGTGACAGCTGCGTGAGGCGTTTAAAGGAAATAGCCGACGATGGAGCGTGTCTGAGAATTACCGTGGAAGGCGGTGGTTGCTCTGGATTCCAGTACAAGTTTGACTTGGATCCAAACGTACAGGAGGACGACAGGTGTGCGTTCAGATACGCATAGTTTTTCTGCAAATGATGTACGAACGATAGAAACCCCTTGTTTCTTGTGTTACAGAATATTTCAGAAGGATGGCACTAAGGTAGTAATAGACTCGACGTCGTTAGAATACGTGAAGGGATCGACAATAGAGTTCCATACGGAATTGATACGATCTGCCTTTAGAATAACAAACAATCCTTTAGCGGAACAGGGATGTAGCTGCGGTGCTAGCTTCGCTATTAAAGTAGAGTAGACAACGATGGATGTACGGACTGTTGACTAGTAAGAGCGCTGGCTTGTGATTTTATGTAAACTTCAAAACTGTTTACCGAAGATTAATTATACTTTATTTATAATTAATACGTGCAGAGCAATACATACAATTGCTTTGGCGCGAATATATATTATTTTTATCACAACACCTACTATAAACAGTAGCTGTACATGTCTCTTACACACATTCTCTTTTAATATAGAAAGAACGGCTTATAATTTACAATCGTAGTATCAGTTTACATTTTAATTATAAACGGTCTAACTAAATGTCTTATAAGTGATACCAAAAGAAGATTTATGCATCTCTTTATTAATGAATTTAGATGGTAAAATTTATTCCGTACCAAGAGTTGGTACATTACTGTAAATAAGTATGAGCAAATAAGAATTATCGTTGCACATATGCAACATAGAAGAGTTAAACTTATAACGTAAACGTCCACGAAAAGAACGTTGTCGATGAGAGATTTTTATTTTGATTTCATAAATAATGTAACATCGAGTTAGAGAGCTCTTTAGCACTTTTCAGGCTAAAGATGTGAGTATGCAAAACCAGTGGTTTTCAGGTATGAGCTATATTATGTACATAATAGAAATTTATGATCGTGATTAAACCACATACCACTGAATGGAATGTCAATGATTGTTCTTTGCAATTCTGACCTGGATCACTTCTGTTTTCCTTTTTTACTATTCTGAAAGAAATTACATCCTCGATATTAAACGCTCTCACAAGTGACTGTTCCTCGTATACCCTGTGCATCTTTACCTTATTAGCTAGTTCAAATCTCAGTTGTTGTATCGCCTCCGTTTGGAAGATAAGCTTCTCGTTCATATTGGCAAGATGTTCGCTCATAGTATTGAGCTGTACCTTGTAATTCACCTCTTGCGCCTCTTTCTCTTTTTGTATACCGTTATAATTGGAAAGTGTCTCTAATAGCGCCGCTTCGCACTTCTCTCTCTTTGATTCGCTCGTATCTAACTGCACGTGCATAACTTCGCTCTAAAACACAAACGACAAATTTTT